ATTTTAATTTTCCCAGAATTTTTTAACGCCAAAATTTGTCATTTCAACAATTTGAATTTATTTATTTTATTTAAATTTTTTATTTTTTACTTTGAAATTTTTTCAATTTTTTTTGTTCTTTATTTAATCAAGTTGAATTCATTTTATTTTAATGTAATTATTTTTTTTCTTTTTTTTTATTTGAAAATTAAAATTTTTTTTGTTTATTTATTTAATTAATTTGAATTTTCCCAGAATTTCTTAACGAAAAAATGGCCAATTCAACAATTTGGATTTATTTATTTAATTTGAATTTTTTATTTTTTTCTTTGAAATTTTTAGTTTTTTTTTTTATTTTTAATTAATTAAAGTTGAATTTATTTTTCATTTTATTTTAATAATTTTTGCTGTATATTTTTTTGAAATCTACACGTGAAAATATAAATGTATAACGCCAGTCCGCCAGATTAAGAATTGTGAGAACCAGCAAGGGTTAAAGTTTTTAGGTCTTTACGTAAAAAACTGTGGTTACCAGGGGGGGAGGGGACATGCATTATTTTCTAAAATTTTCGAGTTTTTCGATGAAAACACTTATTAAGATCAATTCCAAATTTGTCCGATATATTTTTTCTGTAATCTATTTTTGAAAATACATATGTATACCAATTTTCATTTTTCTATATAAAAACTGTGAGCGCTAGGGAGGGGGATGTCATGCCTTTTTTTCAAAAATCGGTAAAAATTAAATGTTTTTCGCGGAAAAATCTAGGATGATAAAAACAACCGTAGTTTTCGTGGAACAGATTTTCGAACGTCGTAAAATATAAAAAAAACTTTAACTTTCGGGAAATATTAAATATGAACAGAATAAATTAGAAAAAAGGGGGTAACAAAAGAGAGACAGAAATCTCACTATAATGACCTATTTTCATTTACTTACCAATATTTCCACCAATAAGAAAAGAAATATAAAGTAAATACTCTGGGGCCTTTCGAAAACGGCAAGGTATGAACGAAGGAAATCTGACCCTTCTATGGTAGGTGCGCCTCTGAGTGGCTGTGCTACACCGTAAGTTAATCCCATTATATGTTCCCAACCGTGGTAAATTCTCCTTGTTTATTGACGGGGAGAAGGTCATGATAGATCCTGACGGTACTGGCACCGTTGTCAAAATGCTCTGAGAGTATTTTGCTTTCTTTTTATAGTAAAAGCTGGCAATGACAGTGTTCTGACACAACACTTCCGTAAGCCATGTGATCACAAATGTGATATCGGTTTTCAGAAATAAAAAATGGCGAATACAAAAATGCGAACGAAAAAACTGACTTAATTCTCTTTAAAACTATTACTTGGGGGTTTTTAAGAACGCTGATTAAGAATTTGATGACATATTTAAAAAATACAAAATTGCGGATCAAATATGCGGACAAAAAAATTCAAATCAACTATAAAACGCTTGAAAATTGTTACTCGGGAGTTTCTAAAGTTACTGATTACGAATGTAATGTTTTTTTAATAACAAAAAAATTTTAAACTAACTGACAAGCTTAAAAATTGTTTACTCAAAGGTTTTTGAAGTCGCTAAGAACGAATATGACGCTGGTTTTCACAAATACAAAATGGCGGACCAAACCTACGTGGATTAAAAATTGTTACTTGATGGTTTTTGCGGTCGGTTTTTACAAAAGTAATGTTGACAAAAGAATTTTAATTTTTCTGATGTAAACTTGTAATCCGGTGTCGAATATAATTTTTATTGCAAATTATTAATAACATTTTTCCGCATAGTAAAAATTTTTTTTCAGAAAGTTTGCAGCAACTTTGCAAAGCAAACTTTCTAAAAAACGATTGGGCTATGTGATTTTTTTCTGTTTCAGCTCAGTCTTTGAAGATATAATAACATTTTGTTCAGTTTCAGATTTCTACTTTTTTTTAGGTACAATAAGTTTATTCTATTATTATGTTATAATATTTTTTCTAACATGTTTTATGTTATGTTTTTTATGTAATGTTGTAAGTTATAATGTATAAATTTTTTAAATGTTTTAATGTTTTGCTTGCTTATGAGGAAGTATTTTTTATGTCCTGTTATGTTTTAATGCCTTTGAATATTATGTTTTTTATGTTTCAGAATATTTACTTCTTGAGGTACATGAAATGATATTTTTTAAGTAATGTTACAATCTTTATTTTATTTCATCTCTCAATGTTTTTATCTTTTCAATTTATATATCATGTTTGTATTGGTTTCTTGTAATGTTACAATGTTTATTCCATTTCATCTTACTATCTTTATTCTATTTAATTTTTTTGTGTTTTTTATGTAATGTTACAATGTTTATTTCATTTCACTTTACTATTTATTTTATTTCATTTTTCTATGTTTTTTTATGTAATGTTACAATGTTTATTCGATTTCATGTTACCATCTTTATTCTATTTCATGTTACTATCTTTATTCTATTTCATGTTTGCAATGTTTTTTTTTAAATGTTACAATGTTTATTCCGTTTCATGTTACTATTTTTATTCTATTTCATGTTTGCCATGTTTTTTTTGAAATGTTACAATGTTTATTCCATTTCATGTTATTATCTTTATTCTATTTCATGTTTGCAATGTTTTTTTGTAATAATATTATAATGTTTATTCATTTTCATTTTTTAATCATTACATCTTTATTCTACTTCATGTTTCAATGTTTTTTATGTAATATTATAATCTTTATTCCATTTCATTTTTTATGTTTTGTTATGTAATGTTACAATGATTATTCCATTTCATGTTACTATCTTTATTCTATTTCATTTTTCTATGTTTTTTTATGTAATGTTACAATGTTTATTCCATTTCATGTCACTATCTTTATTCTGCTTCATGTTTTAATGTTTCTATATATTATGTTATTTTTTTCTGTTTCAGGTTTTTTTTTGTTTTTTATTTCAGATGTTTTCTGTTTCAGGTTTTTTTTTGTTTTTTATTTCAGATGTTTTCTGTTTCAGGTTTTTTTTGTTTTTTATTTCAGATATTTTCTGTTTCAGGTTTTTTTGTTTTAACTTTTTTATTTCAGATGTTATGTTTCAGAATTTTTGTTTCAGGTTGTGTTATTAAACACAAGAAAGAGTTAAAACATGTATCTCAAACTTTACTTGTCAACTAAGTAAATGTTTTTAATTCTCACTTAATATCTCTATGATAAAGTTATTTTCTCTATAGCAAATATTTGGATTATTTAATTACACTAACTTTTCTCTTTATAAATTATTTAAAAGAAGTCAAATAATTATTTTCTTTCTCAAATTATATATTTGTGAAAAATTTCTCGAAAAATATGATTAAGAAATTCAATATATATTTATTTTAATGAAAACTCTTTCTTGGGTGTAATATCACTGGTCCCTCGAAGCATAAAATATTTATGCTTCATATTAAAAACAAGGTTTTATGGTTAAAATTTTTTATTCAGTCAATGCATAGTCTATTCAAAGTATAATTAAAAAAAAAATTTTATTTAATAATTACTACATTGGTAATTAATTAATTATTAATTTTTATAAATTATTATTATTAATTAGTAATTAATTATTATCAATAATTAATTAATAGGAATTATTAATTGTTAATAAAAAACCTTAATTTTATTTCACTATTTTTATTCAAAACGAAAAGAATCTATTAAAAACAATATTAAGTAGATTGACTCTCTTTAACATCATAGACTCGGACTCAAAAGTTGACTAATTAACAAAGACCTTGCTTTTAATGTGTTTATCCAGAGAAAAAATATATTTACTTTCAGAGCTTAAGATCTGAGATAAATATATAATTTTATTTTAATTGCCATAAATATTATTCGATTCAGTAGAACATTTTCTCTGGATGAAGGGGGGAGTGGAGTTAGGCCTATTCTACATTTTAATCTAGTCACCACTTCAAAATGCGTTAAAATTCAAAAATCAGAAATCAATTTTCAGTATTTTGTTAGAAAATTGGGATTAGAAAAAATGTGCAGTGGGGAACCACACAAAAACGCGTCTCATGTTCAACCTCCTGGGTGACGCGGAATAGAACATACAACTTATTAATTTTAATTATTATAAATTATATTTGCAAATTTTTATAATATATTATTAAGGCTTTTACCTTTTCTTTATAAATTTTATATTACACAATCTTCTTTGGACTCGCTTTTTTGAATTGCATCTCTCATTTTAATAAAATTGTTAATTATTAATTTTACTTTATCGTTAAACATTAATATCAGGGAAATTAAGAAATAACAAAAGAAGGCAAAGAGAAAGAAATAATTACCTTCTACTTTGAATTGACGAAAAATCTTTCTACTAATTCAAATAAATATTCTGTCAGACAAAAAAAAATTTTCAATCTTTCAGTTATGAATAATAATGACACTTTTGAGTCAGACTGAAACTGACTAAATTTATATTGTTTTTTTAATGTATATAAACGTACTTGGCAACCGTGGGCCAGTATTGGCAAGAAGTATTGCACCAATATTCATCCAATCATCAATTTTATCAACTCTCCAATTTTACAATGGTTTGTAGGTAATATTGGACTTAAAAAAAAAAAGAATTTCCCAACTGTTGTAAATATTAAAAAATAACCATTTCACATCCAATAATAAAAAACAATTGAACAGGTAAATAAAAATTCAAAAAATGAAAAATAAATGAATGAAAAAAATGTATCTATTGATATTTGGTATTTTATCCCCATATTTCCAAAGAGGCTTAGTATATTTGAAAAGCTTTAAAAGGTTTTTATTATTATAGGTATAGTGTAGCATTTACAATATACCATACTAAAATGAAAAAGAGCTTTCTTCTGAAAGTAGCTCATCGAGTGGTAGAGAGAGAGAGAGAGAGAAAAAAATACGTATACACAATTTCATGGAAAAAGGATTAAAACGACCCTGATGCTGAAGTGTGTAAATAGAATGCAAACGGAAATATGATGAGAATTCATTGTCTTCTCCAAATAATAATAATGTACTTACATTGGACTTGGAGTTTGATCGTTTGGTTCGCACTCGGTGGTATACCATTGCTTGCAGTACAAATATAATCCCCTGTATGTTCTCGGCTGACTGTTGTTATGGTAAAAGGATTTCCAACCACCATTGTGTCTATAAAAACGTTATGCAAGCAAAAAAATTAAATCAATTTACCGCCTTATCAATGTATATGTTTATACGTATAAAAGTTCTTTTTCGCAAATAGTTTTTTTTATCCATAAATGTTTCCCAAAGTTTCCAACGTTCAAATGAACGAAATTTATTTATTTCTTTTTCAGAATTTATTTCAAGTAATTTCAAGTAACATTTAATCGTTTACAGACTTCGCACTCGATATTTAATTTTAAAATGTAGTGAAAAAAGTGGTTTTGAAAATAATTGAATCGTTTTAAAGAATTTGATTGAAATTTTTGAGAATAGTAGGTTTCAGTAGATGAGTGCGAAGCCTGCGGTTTATTAAAAAATAATTTACAAATTTTCAACATTTTTTATTTATTATTTGTTTTCATTGAATTTTTTTGAATAAGTTGAATAAGAAAAAAAAGAATATACAAATTTTCTCAAAAATAAAATTTTCCTCAAATTTTATAATTACATTAAAACATCAGGAATTTCGTTCGTTGAGAATTATTATGCATTTTTGAAAATTTAATTAATTCTCCTTAATTAAACTCAGACTAATAATGAAAATGAGTTATTAATTAGTTTTTGGAGAATTTTCGAGGAAAAAGAAAAATAGAGAATTTTTGGCTTTTTCCTAAAACCAAAATAAATTTACAAGAGAATCGTATATATCGAACAATCTAAATTGAAGAGAATTGTAAGCTCTCGAATTCTCGCGAACAATTAGCAGTAGTGAGTCAGGTGAAGAGGCTCATGGACTGTTAGACAGAACAAGGATCAGTATTAGCTTATTCAACGCGCCCCGTTTAACTCTACACTTTGGTTAACATCATTTGCGGTTTATAATTAGTCTCATGGAAAATAATGTGAACATTCAAATTTCGGCTTCAACTTAAACACTGTGTATATATATGTGAAACCCACAAAGGCAACGTCTGGAAATTCCACTAAAATTCCATGTCAATTTTTTAATGGAATATTCGAAGGAAATTTTTTAAAAAACAAAAAAAAAGTAAAAATTATACCAAAAACAATTAATATGTTGGTACAAAAAAAATTACAATTTAAATTTCTAGAAATTTCATTTAATTTACTTTTCTGACCGAAAATTGACTTTTCTACTTAATATTCTTTTTCCTATAGATAGAATATCAATGATTGTTGATTAAATAATTGAAAAATATTTGGAAACTATTTAATAAAATAGAAACTATTTGGAAACTATTTAATAAAATAGAAACTAATTAGAAACTATGTAATAAAAAAATAAAAAAATAGGTAATTACAAATTATTTAATAATTATTAAATATGAATAAATAAGTAGAAACATTAAATAAATAAAATACAATCCTACCTCTATGAGGCAGTAATAATGAGTAAACAAAATAATTAATTAAAAAAAATGAAACAAAAATATCCAATTCTTTAATAATTTGTCAATGATAAATATAAATTGTATACAAATGAAAATTATTATTTATTATAATTATAATTTTCCAAAATTTTTCATTGTATTATTGCGCTAATTTTTTTTATTTATTATCGTTTTGAAAAGAAGAAACAACTTACATTTGTAGATTCCTTTCAGAATTAGTCCATTTGACATGTGCCATGTAATGTTCGGTATTGGAAATCCAATGGCCCCGCACTCTAAACGAACATTTTCTCCTTCGTTAACTGTGTAGTAAGTTTTCTGTCCAAATACTGAAAAAAAATTGCAATGAATATTTTTCTGTTACTAAACAAAGAAAAAGATTATTTCTATTTACAAAAAAAGACAAAAGAAAAAAAATTAACAAAGAAATTTTCAACAAAATAATAATACACTGAAATAAAAATAAAAAAATTTATTTTGTTCAAATAAACTTGACTAATTATCAAAAATAAATATTTACTTCACTCAAATAATTTTTATTCAAATCAAATAAATTACATTTGAACCAATAAATTCAACATTTCAAGTAAATACGATTTAATTGACTTTATCGAAACTTTAATAAAATTCCTCCTAAGTTTTTTTATAAACTTGGGAGATTATTTTCATAAACAATAAAATTATTTATAAGACTTCAATTATTTTTATAAAAAATAATAAAATTCTGAGCGAAAATTCAATTATTTTCATGAACAATAATAATCTCCTTTAAAGTTTTAATTATTTTTAGAAATGAAAAAATTTTTCCAAAGAATTCAATTATTTTTTATGAAATTTTTTAATAAAATTTCCCAAAAATTCAATTATTTTACTAAATAACAAAAAGTTCTTAGAAGTTCAATTATTTTTATAAACAATAACATTCTTCGCAAAAGTTCAATTATTTTTAGAAAGAATACAATTTTTCCGAGGAATTCAATTATTTTCATAAATAACAAAATTTTTTCAACGAATTCAATTATTTTTAATAAAGTTTTAAGAAAATTTCTCTAAAAGTATTTTTTAAATTATTTTTACAACCGATAAATTTTTTCTCAAGACTTCAATAACTTTTAATATGATTTCAATAAAATTTGTCGATAAAATTCCATTATTTTTAAATGTTTTAATAAATTTCTTAGCAATCATTAATTATATCTTCAAAATTTTAATAAAATTATTTTAAAGTATTACATTATTTTTCAAAGTTTTGTTAAAATTATTTACAAGAATTTAATATTATTTATTTATTTTCAATGGAATTGAAATTCATCGAAATAATTTGTATTAAAAAATTTTATTAAAATTCTACTCAAGAATTTATTTGAGGTTCAATATTATAAATGTTGCAAAAATTTTAACATGTTTTTAACAAAAATATCATCTTTTTAAAAAAAAAAAAAAATTCATCTGTTAGCGTAAAATTTTGGAAAAATTATATTGTGATGTTTTTTTGTTTGGATTGGATTTTTGTTTTGGAAAGATTGTTATTAAAAATATTATTGTTATTATTATTATTATTATTATTATTATTATTATTATATTATTTTTATTTTTATAATAATAATTATAATTAATATTATTATAGGTTAGTAATTATAATAAAAGCAACATTAATTTTAAATTACGCAAAATACGGCGAAATTGATATTTATTCCAGTAATTGGAACATAAATGGCAAAGTATAATTAAGGCATTTAATTACAAACATCTGACTATAATTAAGGAACATTTAATATAGAAGGCAATGAAACGTAATTTACTTTTATTTTTACCAAAAAAAACAACTTTTCACAAAGAATTTTATGAAATAAAAAAAAGAAATAATAATAAATAAAGAAAAAAAAGAAAGATTGTTGCAAAAATAAAAGCGTGTGAAATTAAGGTAGTAAAATGTAAAACTTCTGATAACAATTCTTTGTCAAAGAGGAAAATCTTGTTTTTGTATTTCAACTCGAGAATTGACTCTATTTAGTTACGAACAATTTACTTTCCACCTGACTATAAAACTAGCATTACACTCGTTATTTGTAACAAACTCAAGAGGAAGTTTAAAATACACAGAAATTTCATTTAACTTCACTGCGCAAACAAGTTACATTAAAGTTAAAAACTTGTTTAGAGTTCTTTTTTTTATCCCCCCTTTAATTATATGTAATCTAATTATTAAGGATAATAATTACATACTTGAAATATTTTGCATGGAAACTATAAAAAGAATATTAGCACGAAAGTGGAAAAAGACAATTTAATAATAAGGATAATAAATAATAACAATAAAAAAATAAAATAAAAATAGTAATAACTATGATAACAATAAAAAAAATTAAAATAGTAATAACTATGATAATAACAATAAAAAAATATAAATAGTAATAATAATAGTAATAGTAATAAATAATAATAACAGTAATAATTTAATAAAATATAAAAAGTTTTTTTTTATTAAAATAATAATAGTGATAATAGTAATTATAATGAAGATAACAACCAGTAATAAATAATTTATTTAACTTTGGAAAAATATTTTGTTCGCGAATTTTAATCAAAACATTGAAAATCATTTGTCTCCCGAGACTGTCATGGGAATAAAAAATATAATGGAATGGACTTGATTAATGGGACACTCAGATTAAAAGGGAGGTAGTAACTTTTTTAAAAAAGTGAATGAAGACTGCCGCTCCAATAATCTGAGGACTCAAGTAACAAATATATAACGACCCAATAACTATAATAATTTCAAAAAAAAAAAAAAAAGAGTAAAATAAAAATAATTTATATACCCTAACGTTTAAAAAAAAATTTAATTTCCTTTTTTAATAACCTCGAAATTTTAATGGTATTTTTTTTATTACATCGACTTCTTTTCGCTAAAAGCTCGTTATAACAGGCGGATATTTTTAATTAGAATGTCTGCCAATCATTTTTTCTATCACTTATTAAAATAGGGATGATGAAATTCAGAAAAATTTTTTTCCATCCTTTATTGCAATATAAAATTTCATAGACATATAAAAATTTATTTATAGTTGTAAATTAATATAGAAGTGTAAAATGTACTTTTTCCTCATGCACAATTATTGCACTCAGAAAAAAATGTTATAAATTAAATGAAAATTATTTGAAACAAATAAAAATGTCTAGTTGTCTCTGAGTCAAATATATCTCTTTCTGGATGTGAAATTAATTAATGGCGACTAATTAAAAAACGAAAATATAAAAAAAATATAATTATAAATTATAAAAATATAAAAAATATAATTATAACGATAAAACGTGTAATATAGTAAAAAAAATTTTTTGAAATATTTATAGTATGTGAAAATTATTTTTAATGAAATAACTTACTGGGAATGGAAGGCGCAATAAGACGCTCATTAACTCGGGTGCCATTACTCAATTGACGATCGTAGACAACAACTCCAGGCTCTCCTGCCTTCCCATCATGCCCTGGTGGTCCTTGTAAGCCTTTTGGTCCAGGTGGTCCTGAAATAATGAGCAATTTTTTTTCTCATTAGACTTTTATTTCGCCAAATTATAAACAATAATAAAAATATATACGTAAAAATTTATTAAATAAAATAGTCAAACATAGATATTTAAAATTAAATTTTTTATATAATTCTTTGATGGAATTCAATTATTAAAAAAAATTTTTAATAAAATTCTTTATTTAAAAATTGAAATATTTTCAAAGACAAAATTTTAATAACATTTCTCGACAGAATTCAATTATTTTGAAAATTTTAATAAAATTATTTATTAGAATTTAATTATTTCCAAGACAAATTTTTAATAACATTTCTCGACAGAAATAAATTATTTTCAAAAATTTTCATACATTTTTAACGTAATTCTTTACTAGAATTCAATTATTTTTACAAATTCTAATAAAATTTGTCATTAGAATTCAATTATTTTCAATAAAAAGTTTAATAACATTTCCCAAAAGAATTCAATTATTTTTAGAAATTCTAATAAAATCTTTCATTAGAATTCAATTATATTCAATACAATTTTAATAACATTTCCCGACAGAATTCAATTATTTGCAAAAATTTTGATAAAATCTTTCATTACAATTCAATTATTATTTTCAATGCAATTTTCATTAAATTACTCGAAAAAATATAATTATTTTCAGAAAGTTTAAAAAAAATCTTGTCAGGAATTGAAAATTATAATAGATATTTACTCAATTTTAATAAAATTTCATAAAATAATTAAATTATTTTCATAAATAATAAAATTCGTCGGGGAAAAATTTAGTTATTTTCTAAAATTTAAAAAAATTTCTTGATAACAATACAATTATATTTTTAAAAGTTATAATAAAATTCTTTGAAACAATTCAATTATTTTTAAAATACAAGAATTTAATTTTAATAATATTCCTCGAAGCAATTGAATTAATTTCAAACATTTTTTTTTAATTTTAAATTCTTCAAAATAATTCAATTGTTTTCGAGAAAATTTTAATTATTTTCTTGACAAAATTTAGTTATTTTTAGAAATTGTAATAAAATTCTTGTCAGGAATTTAATTATTTTCATAAACAATAACATTCTTCGCAAAAAGTTTAATAAATTTTAGAAATAATAAACTTTTTCCCAGGATTTCAATTATTTTCAATACAATTTTTTAATAAAATTTCAGGAAGAAATTCAATGATTTTAATAAATAACAAAAATTTATTAAAAATTCAATAATTTTTAAAAACAATAACATTTTTTCCAGGAATTCAATTATTTTAATAAATAACAAAATATTCTTAGAAATTCAATTATTTTAAAAACAATAACATTCTTCGCAAAAGTTCAATTATTTTTAGAAACAACAAAATTTTTCCTAGGATTGCAACAATTTTTAATATAATTTTTTAATAAAATTCAATTATTTTCGATACAATTTTAATTAATTTCTTTTAAAAAATTTAGTTATTTTTAGAAATTGTAATAAAATTCTTGTCAGGAATTCAATTATTTCCATAAACAATGAAATTCTTCGTAGGAATTCAATTATTATTATAATACAATTTCAATAAAATTTTTTGAAAGAACTCAATTATTTTTCTAAAAAATAAATATCGTTGCAAAAATTCAAATTATTATTTTTTCTAAAATTTTCACAAAATTAACAATTAAATTATATTTTCGAAAATTGGGGTAAAATTCTTCATTACGGTTCAAATATTTTCAATACAATTTTAATGGAATCTCTCAAAAAATTTCAATTATTTGTAAATTTTTCAAAATTTTTAAAGATTTAAAATTGTACAAATTACAAAAATTATATAAAATTTTTTTAATGAGAATGACGTTGTTTTTTATAATTAAAAAAAAAATAAATATAGATTTTAAGACTGATTTTGTTTTTATTTTATTTATTTTTCTTATTTTTCTTATTTTATTTATTTATTTTTGAAAATTTTTTATTAATTCGACTGCATAACGAACACAAAATGAAAAATAAAACACATTTAACGAAGAATAAATTTTCCAATTAAGAGACAATAATCAATTAATAATGCATTGAAACGAAATGGTAATGACAATTAACAATTGCGAATAATTCTAAAAATATTCATTAATAGTTTTTATCAAAAAAGACAGAAAAAAAAATTTGTCAATGTTTAAAATGGCACACAGAAGTTTCTTAGGTATATAAATATGCCTTTGCGCATTTCAAGAAAAATCGATGAAAATAAACAAGAAAAGATGAGAATTTTTCAAGAGTTCTTATCGGACTGAGATGGAAATTGTGACAGTTGAAAAGTTTGAATTTCCAAAGGCTGTACAGTTATATATACATTTCTGACTTTTCGATTGCAATTTAGAGTCGCCAATTCCTTTATTTTTGTTGCCTATATATATGAAAGAAATAAATTTAAAATAGAACCTAAAATACAAGGAAAAAGAAAATTTTATTTTTTTTAAATAGTTTTTCCTTTTATTATAATATTTATAAAGAAATTAAAATTTCTTTTATCACGATTAAAGGTAAAAAATTTATTTAATTTAAAAAATTGTTACTATCCGTAAATGTATTTGCAGTTGCGACATAAAAATAATTTTCCGCAAAGTAGTCTCGAATCGATACTTTACATCTATTATGTAAAATTTAAAATTGATCAGAATTAAAAATATTGTGAAAATAAAACGATTTAGGTTAATGAAACGACGTCAGCTCTTAAAAGTTGTGGATTTTTTTCTTTTTTTAGAAAAAAGCGAGGCTAACCAGCTTTAAATTTTAAATGAGGTCAAGCAAAGGACTGTCTTGAAAACTCCCTCGGGTAAAATATGATTTTACGTGGATTTCTTTTCCTAATTTACAAAAAAAAAAAAAAAAAAAAAAAAATTCGGTAAATACACTTTCCATTGTGCCATATAATAATGAAATTTTATTATTTATTCGATCGAACGTATTTTGTGGAATAATTTTAATATTCAATTCATAGCTTTCTAAATACATTAAATATTAAATATTATAGAATTTTGATAATAATTAAAATAATAATTACTATTAATATCTAAATAATAAATTATTATTTAAATTAATTCGATAAATGGAATTTTCAATAAAATAAAATTTAATATACGAGCGGTATAATATTCTCTATATATAGTTAATTCGTGTAATTACATTATTATTTTCCATTGACAATTAGCAAATTGCATAATTAAATAATAATTGACATTCATTATTCAGCATATATCGGGAGATTAAAATGTAGTGTCTGTTAAAAAATAATATTATTTCTGTCAAAATTCACTCTCTCTCTCTCTGATAAATTTTGAAATTTATACACAAATTCCTTTGAAATATTTAACATTTCAACTGAATTGTTTCATAAATTTCTTACCAACTATTCGTATTGATTTTATTTTCAATATAAGAAAACTTCAAAAGAAGAGAAAAAAAGTAAAAAAAAACATTCGATTTATTTCTTCCTCAAAAAGGATATTTACGAACAAAATTTAAAAACTGAATTATAAAAATTTCAATTTTCAATAAGTTTTTTGAAAAACGGATTTTTCAAATTATTGTAACGCTAAAATTCAATTATATTAATCAATTTTAATACATTATTCGCAGGGGTTCAATTATATACATTAAATTTTAATAAATTTATGTAAAAAAATTTTTTTAAAATAAAATAAAATCCTTGTTAGAATTTTATTTTAAAAAAATTGTATTAAAAATAATTAATTTCAAAAACAATTTATTTAAATAAAATTCTTCGTAAAAATTCAATTATTTTCAAAAATGTCCATTAAATTCTTCGCTGGAATTCAATTATTATCAGTACAATATTTTAACCTTCGCGCTACCAAAGATTTTTGTATACGCGGGCTACCGGATGGCCACCCGGGGTGGCCAAACGCTTTTTTACTTTTATATTCCAAAAACGATTAAAATTCATCAAACTTTTTGTAAATAACTATGTGTTAATACAATTGCTGTATTTTAATAAAGGTTTTATGCATATTGCAATTGTTTAAAAAATTTGTTATTGCAAAAACCTTTAATTTTCAAATAAACAAAGAGATTAGAAAATTTTTGAAAACTTTTCTTTTTTTAACGTTACTTAGTATTAAATCAAAAATTAAAGAAAATATTTATTGAAACGAATCATAAATATTAGTAAAAAATTATTTAAACAAATTATTGTTGTTATTTACCAACTTTTTACAGAATACACTATGACGAAGTAGTTTCGTCATGATATGTTCATTATTTACTTTCTTTTTATTATTATAAATTCAATTAATAATTATTTGATTTTGGGTTTAGCGCGTTAGTCCTTTTGACTTTAATGTGTAGGGAGAAATGTAAATTCCCCTTTTTGACAAGTGTATATCGGCGTATCGCGAAAAATGTAGCAGACGACAAAAGCACATTTTTGAGTTAGTTGGATTTGGATGTTGATGAGATAAGACGTACTTATGAGATTTATAAAAAGTATAAGAGTATATTGTACGAAGGAATATTGACGTTGTATGTAGTTGACTTGTGTTATGTGGAGAATTTAATAGTTTGTTAATAAAGGTTTGTTAGAAAAGAAATTGTGTTTTGGTTGTCAAAAGAATAACAAGGAATTATAGTCTAGTAATTATTTAGACTTGAGATTTAGTAAGTATAATTTTCTGTTTGACAAGAGTCGTGTCTCAAATGACCAAGTGTCCCTTTTTGGTTATTTTCCTGACGGAATCTCCTTTGAGATATTATGGTGAGATTTGTTATTTTTGTTGGTAATTGTTGATTGAGAATAAATTTTAATTTTTGTTAATTTTTAATAATAAAATTAACTGGCGTCTGACTATCACGTTGGCAATAGAAAATGATTTGTGACGAATAAGGGAAAAATGATTTATTAAATTTTGCATAACTTTTAATTTATTATTAAAAGAAACGTCATAACACCTAGAAAGTTGCAGTTTTTTCCTAATTTTGCAATTTACTAAATCTTATATGATCACAAATAA